CCCGGCCATCTTGCCGCGGGACAAGCGTTAACACTAGTATCAAAGATGGAATAGAATCGGGAAAAGAAAGGCCGCGAAAGGAGGGACAGCAGAATGAAGTGCGGATGGCAAAAACCAAAGTAATTTTTAATGAATGTAAATAATGAAATAGACACTGCTACATTTCCCCACGAGTTGTCGTCTCGCGGTGAGTTGGCCGTGCCGAGTGGTCCCTTTCCTGAGACAGAAAACCGACGGCGGAGAAAGACCTCTGCGGTCCATTAAGTCGTCTTCCTCGGCGTGGGGGATGGAGTTCTTGCACCAGTTCAAAACCTCCTCAGCCACCAACCTTTACCCCGAAAGGCTCCCAAAGAGGGGGCGGGGGACACTCAGTGGGCATTCAGTGTTCCCCCCTCTCTCCCAGCCCAGACCACCAAAGCTTCGAGCCCTTTAAATTAATAATCAGCAACAAATAGCCCGCGTTTGATCCTTGAGAGGCAGCCTCAACATGAAAAATCGATCAGAGAGTGTTTCGGTGTCGAGGGGGCACAGCTTTGATTGTTTGCGGGGGGGGGGGAGAATGCAGAGGAGGGAAGTGCTTTTAAGAGGCTTGTAAAGATGTAAACACCGTCCCACTTCAGAAGGTGCTTTCGATTGCCATCTTCCAAAGAGGAAGGCAAGGCCATTAGCTCCTGTTCCAAGTCTCTCTCTCTCTCTCTCTCCAAGGGGTTCTTCCCCAGCCAGTCCAGGGCTGGGCCAAAGGAGGAGCCCCCCCCCTCCCCTTTGTTCCTCAACTCAGGAGGGTTGGAAAGAGATGGCTTCCCACCCTTAAGTGCCCAGCCATGTGGAACCTCTCCTCCTGAACGAGTGAGGGCGCAAAAAGAGCACGGAGCCAGCAGCCTGACGCGGCTGCCAGAACAGCCAAGGCAGTCCTGGCTCATCAACAGTCGGGGCCGACAGCATCAGGACCATGGCAAATGATAGCGCCACTTTGTGGCTGCACGGAGTGAGGCCACCCTTGTGTCCAGTTCTTGTTGCTCCGAGATATAGGCTTCTGTCTTGTGTTCGTCTGTGAGTCAGACTTTCACAGCCGTTTCTGTTTTAAATTTGGGGCTCGCCTACTGCTGTGCCAGAATGGTTTTTTCTTCATCCTGATTGGTCTTGGGAGTTTGCTGTGTTCTGCTTGGTTGGTGTTTCTAATATCTTCTGTTTTTTGGCTCTTTTTGTGTCTTGGTTGGCTGGCAACACTGTGTGTCCTGTATTGGAGGCTTTTAGTGCAGCTTGGCTCCGGGTAAATGGACGGCTATCATTTGTTAGGAAGCTCGGTTTCATCTGGGTGCCTGGTTGGGGTGTGTTGATGCTGGAGGTATCAGGGGGGATCTGTTTGTGCCCAGGTGTTTGCCTGGCTAGTGGTGTGGAGATTTTTTTGCTTGTGAGTGCAGGCTTCCAAACTCCGAGAAGCACAAAGCCGAAGACGCAAGCCTGAAGATGATGAGACTTCACCGAAACGTCGCCTAGATACTTCCAATTTTACGCGGGAGAAAACCTGAATAGCCAAAGATATATATATATATTTATAAAGATGTCGAGACTCAAAAGTGCAGAGAAGAGCAACCAGGATGATCAGTGCTCCATCACTGCAAGAAGAGATTGGACAGTCATTTGTTTGAAATGGTATAGGGCCGTGATGGTGAACCTATGGCACAAATGGCACACGGAGCATTTGTGCAGGCACGCGCAAACTTCCAGCCAAACCTCCCTGCCCTGTGCATGCCTCCCAGCTGATTTTCGGCCTCCGAGACTCGAAGCAAGTCTATGCAGCCTCAGGAAGCCGAAAAATGGGCCTTCCAGAAACACTGGAAGTGCCCGTTTTCAGCCTCCAGAGGGTCTTCTGGAGCCCGGGGGAGGCCATTTTCACCCTCCTATGGGCTCGAGGGAAGCCTCTGCAGCCTTTGGAGGCCGAGAAATGGGCCCGTTTTGTCACTTCCGGAAATTTTTAGCATGGGAGCCACCCCTGGTATAGGGCTTCCTGCTCTAGCAGGGGATTAGTCTAGAAGACCTCCAAGGTCCCTTCCAACCTTATTCTCACTCTATGTTCTGTGGAGTTCTGCCATCGAAAGAGGGACCGTCCCAGCCCCCCTTACAGCTGGAGAACTTCCTGGTGGCCTCCCTTCCGAACATGAGCTGTGAGCCTTCGGGTCTTTCCCAGACCTTCCATGGTTAGAGGCATTGGAGGGGCCCTGAAGGCCGTATTCCCCCTGCCCCCCCCCCAATTTATTCCTGCCCACAAATGCAGGTGTGGGTTTCAAATTTTTTTACTACTGGTTCTCTGGGAATGGCTTGGTGGGCGTGGCAGGATGCTACAAAATCCCCCTTCCCCCCCTAACCTGCTTTCCAGCTCCGTTCTCCCATGCAGGGCAACCAAAGGAGACCGAGCCCATCAGCTGAGTCTCGGGAGGCAGAAGAGGTGGGGTTAGTGGGACAAGTCAGAGGTGGGATTTGCCGGTTCTCCGAACTACTAACGTTTCCGCTACCGGTTCTCCAAAACCAGCCAGAACTGGCTGAATTTACCACCTCTGTGAGTGGGACCGCTGGCAATTGACCTCCAGGATTTGACCCGAGGTGGTGCTTTGAGGTCCAGCTGCAAAATCCAAACCCAAGAGAACAGCCACGGGCTGAAAGCAGATACCAGGCAGGTCCCGCTGCGCTCCAGAACCCCAGATATCCCACCAGAAGGGACACTTCTATCTCAAATCCTGCATACACCCACCCCATTATCAGATCCCGCCGTCTTCTAAGCCGGAATGAGACAATTCTCCGTGGCCACCTTGCCCCGGATAATTCCCCCGCGGGATAACTCCACGCCATGTTACCCACTGCGGTTTTCTTTGCAGGCCAAATCTGGCCCCCCAGGCCTTGTTTGACACCCTTGGTCCTAGATCCTCTTTCCCAGTGTGGGGACGGGACGGGACATCCCACCCCATGAGTGCTGGTTGTCCTCTTCTCCTCTTCCACCTTTTCAAGCATCGGAGTACAGAAAGTCACCAACTTACAAAATGCTTAGCAACAGAACAAGGCCCATCATCCCCAGTTCACGTCTCCCTCGTAGGCATATTACCAGAGATTGTAACAGTGTTCAACTTAGGCCTCTTGGAGATGGGGGTGGACTTCCACTCCCAGAAATAGCCGGCTGGGGAATTTGGGGAGTTGGAAGTCCACCCTCCAAGCTTCCCATGGTCAACAAACATTGAAATATATCCAAGTGAACCCGTATTTGGCACCCTCGATCCCCAATACCAGCAGCGGGAAGGAACAAAGCCGCTACAACGAGCGTTTCCCGGTTGATTTAATCTGGTTTAACTTGTAGAGCAGGCCGCCATTCCTGGTCTTCCTCCGCTGCCCCACTACACCGTTTGGGATGAAGGGCCTGCCCGCTATCGATGGGAATTTCCCAAATGACCCTTCCTTTCCCACCTGTTAGGCCAAGCTGACCCCCACCACCCTCCCCGAGTCCTTACGACACCCCTGCTATGGATGGACTCCACAAGCCATAGTTAAAAACAAACCACCGTTTGGAGCAGATTCGGACTGCTGCACCCTCCCCATAATTAAAGAGAGCAGCGCGCAGGGGAAACAATGATCAATAGTCTGGTTGGTCATATCGTTTATCTTGAGTGGGGGTTGAACTGGATGGCCTTAAGGGGACCCCTTCCATGAAAAGCGAGCTTAGCTACTTGCAAGGCACTTCCTAAACTTTTTCTTCAAGACCCCTTCAAATCCCTCATCCTCCCCAGAGTGCACGCGCGCGCGCGCACACACACACACACCCAATCCAATTTTAACACATTGGCTTTGTTCCTTTTTAAAAACCAGGATGTCTTTTATTAAAAGTCTTATCCAAATTCCATTAACAAAAAGGAGATATTATATATATATATATATTATATATATAATAAGAGGGCCCAAAATTCCGAAAGGGGGAGGGTGGGAGGGCGATATGATTTGGGGGGTGCGGGGTGGGGGTGTTAAAGTTTTCTGGGCTGAAAACTTTTGCAAAACTAGGGGCTTAAAAAAACCAACACGCATCGGCCAGGAATTGGGGGGGGGGGGGGGAGGGGAAGAGAGAAAGTTTTTTAAAACCACAGCTCTGAACTCGAGAGGCGTTGTGAGGGGTTTGTGCCCAAAGGGTTTTCCTAGCCAGGTTTGTACGCCGCTGTGCCACAAAACTAAAAATTTTCAGTTAAAAAATGGCAGAATTCTGCTTTCTTTCATTTTATTTTATTTTTTAAAAAAAGCGTGCAGGTTTGGGAAACCTGCGTTGCTTTCGCTTCGAGTGAGGCTTCCTCCCCCCCCCCCCGGTGCCATCTTCCTGTGGTGGGCCTGGCCCCATGGGGACCACTGCCTCACACGCCCGTTTGGAGCCCCCCCCCAAACTGGGCTCTTGTGGGGGGGGGAGGAGGGGGTAGACGGACCGGACACAGATCAGCAAGGAATACATGGCGGAAGCAGACAAAATAAGCGACCCGCAATTCCACGCGTTAAAAAAACACTTTGGAGACACACACACACACACACACACACACACGCCCCGCCGTGCCGAGGAGGGTCTCGCATCCAGAAAACTCACATGTTGAGGGTCGCAGCTGCACCCGTGCACCTCGCTCGGCCTCGTTTCCAGACCTGATGCATCTTCATTACACACAAAGACACACACACACACACACACACCCGTTCCCGGGGCAGCGGGAGGGGCAGCCACGGCGGACTTGAAACCTTCAAGCTGGGAGTCACCGTGTCCGAATGCCTCCAAGTTCAAGGCGCCTCGGGGAGCAGGGAGAGGAGCCCCGAATCGCTCGCGGGTTCATCAAACCTCGTATCTGGGGAGCCTTTGGTTGCAAATACCTCATATCTTTGGGGGGGGGAGGAAGGAAGGGGGACGGGAAAGAGAAAGCTAACCCCCCCCAAAAAGCCACCAAATAAAAATACCCAACTTTCTCTCTTTGAAACACCTCTCCTTTTTCTACATCTGTTAAAAAAATATATACTGTGGGTGTTCGCAGCCATACAAAAAAGCCGGGGGGGGGGGGCTGTGTATCAGCAGAAGGGGGGGCGAGAAGGGGATTTGTCACAGTCCTCACAAAGGGGGGAGGGGCAACGGTTTTGAAGGCTGGGGAAAGTGTCAAGAGTCCGCCAAAAACACGGATCGGCCTGCAAAGGAGCCGAGGAGGAGGAAGGAGGGGGCGAGAGAGGCCTCAGTCCTCGTTGTCTTCATCCTCGTCTTCGTCCGGTTCTTCCTCGGGGTCTCGTTTCCGCTTCTCGCCCTGCTTGACCTCTGCAAGAAAAGGAGACCAAAAAGGTGTGTGTGTGTGAGAGAGAGAGGTTGGACAAGGTGGAAAACCCGGCCTCCTGTCTCTGTGCGATGCCCCGGAGGGTAACCCAAGCGTAACAAAATCCAAAAACGTAACTAAATGTCCTTTCATGCCCCCAACATGGCCCCGCTGTTCAATAATTCTCAGCTGGGAGATAAAATGTACTCAAAAAATAAGTCTTCGAAAGAAAGCAATACAGTCCGAACTTCATGAGCAGATAGAGGTGAAATAAAAAAACCAAAACAAACTACAATGAAGGAATTTCCACAATAGACCAGGATAAGTATTTACCAACTTCAAGGAGATAACAAGGCAAAGTCTGTTGGAAGGACGCCAACCAAGATAACTTCAGCCCAAAATAACACACGCTTTGCTTCTGGCAACGCTATGTTGTAATCGTCTCTCTTATATACTATTCCTCCCAGCTGCAGCCAATGAGGGGATCATGGCCGCTTCCTCTCTCGTAAGCCAAGTTGTTCCCTTCTCCGTTCCTCCTTGCGTGCCCTAGGATGAACAGAGGATGGGCCCCAACCGTCCTCTGCCCTTCCCCAGCCTCCTCCACAACCTCCGGAGCCATCCCTCCACTCCCTGTCGGCGGTTCCTCCTCTCTCTCAAGAGTCCAATTTTAACAAGGACACGACGCTCTGCTTCCTTCTCTCTTCCCGGCATTCTCAGGGTCCTTGGTGGGCCTGAGATCAGCGTCCAATGAATCTAACCAATGTAAATCTTTTTAAAACCACGGTTTAGACTCAGAGTATGTTGGCTGAACCAATGCGCGGTCGGTCTAAGGGGCCGCCAGAAAGAGGCAGTCAAGCTATTCTCCAAAGCATTGGACGGCAGGACAAGAAGCAATGGATGGAAACTGACCAAGGAGAGAGAAACAACTTAGAACTAAGAAGGAACTTCCTAACAGGAAGGACAATTAGCCAGTGGAACTGCTTACCACCAGAAGTTGTAACTGCTTCATCACTGGGGTTTTTAAAGAAGAGACTAGATAGTCACTTGTGGAAAATGGTATAGGGTTTCCTGCCTGAGCCTGGGACTGACCAGATCGCTGAGGTCCCTCTTCCAACTGTTTATTTCGTTATCCATCAAATCTTGGTTAAAATAATAGTTTTGACACCGATGCCGGGTGTCGCCCAGAGGACTGCTTAGCTAATAATAATCCTCTTTTAATGGATGCATAATTCCTTGCGTGGTGCTATCTGAGTGTATTAATAGCCGGACGCTTTTCCTGTCACCAGTGCAGAGTTTTGTTCAGCAGATATATTCTCAGGGTGCCGAGAGACAGAAATATCTGCTGCTGCCACTACCGCTACCTAGGATTGAACTCACAGCCTCCTGAGGCGAGAGTTCCACCTCACCACTCCCTTAGGTCTGGCTAATAAAGCTTTACAAGTAAGAGCTGAAGAAGCTTCTTGGATGAGAAGTGAAACGTCTTCCAAGAAAAAAAATAAGGAAGTCTAGTTGCCGCCAGAAAAAGCTCCTTTGGGACTTCACTTCCCAGAATTCCCCTGGCAGCAGTGCAACCTGCTGGGCAAGCATTAGTTGGCTGGGAATTCTGGGAGTCGTAGTCCACCTGCCTTGAACCTGCCACGGTTGAAAAACGCTGGCCTAGAAGATGGGATCTCCAAAGGATCCCCTCCCCACCCAATCCGAGACGTGATTCTCAGCCGTGGAAGTTAGAACAATGTACCCACCAGCTTCTTCATCCTCATCCTCGTCCTCGTCTCCGTCATCCTCATCATCTTCGTCCTGAAGGAGGGACAAATTAGGGTTACTCGTGGTTCGCCTGGTGTATTTCTTGGACCATGGATTCTTTCATCGCAACAAATCTTGTTAAAAAGAACTCCCGCTAATGTTTTTAGCAAGATCGGTTGCAATGAAAGAACAAGTCTTGGCAGCCGCCTTGCCCCGATGATCTTGGGGTACAAATCAACCTGTCACCACGGAGACAACTGCACAGAAGGTGGGATGTTAGGACTCACCTCATCATCACCCCCGTTCTCATCATCCTCGCCGTCCAGGTCATCTTCGTCATCTAATTCTTCATCTTCTTCCTCCTCTTCTTCCTCCTCCTCATCTTCTGCAAGGAAAAGACCAACCTCCGCATCAGAGGCTGGTACACAATTCCAGCCAGTCCCCAACTCACAAACAGCAGTTCAACAAAGTTACGACGGCATTGAAAAAAAGGAGACTTATGTCCATTTTTCACTTGATCGTTGCAAGATTCCACACGGTCACCTGGTCAATGTTCAGATGATTGGCCACTGGCTCATGTTTATGATGGTGGCCGTGTCCCGTGAACCTCTTTTGTGACCTTCTGACACTTAACCATATAGCAAACTTAACAGCTGGATCAACCTCCAAACAGGCTTACTATGGGCTCGAAAGAGACAACAATTTTCTAACACATCCCAACCTGCTGTCTGAGAGCTGGAGGAAAGTCAGAAAAGTCGACACTGCAGTCGCATGACCGAAGCCCCGCTCCCGGGCCGGACTACTCACCATCTCCATTCTCGTCGTACTCATCGTCCAGCCCATCGGCTTCCGGGTCCGAGTCGGGGGCTTCTTTGTAGCAGAACCCATCGAGATAGATCAGCTGAGGCAAGAGCGTGAAGATGCTCTCACGGTAGTTGATCAGCTTTGTCACCTCGCAGTTGGAGAGGTCGAGATTCCGCAGGTTGGGCAGCTTTTTCTGCAGCGGGGGAAGGGAGAGGACTACCATGTAGAATGGGATGTCAAACTCAAAGCTTGCGGACTGGATCTGGACTACGGGGTGCTTGGAGCTGGCCAGTGGGGCCGCCATGGAAACAATGGAAGACCAGCCTGTGGTGCCTCTGCCAGCGTAAACGGAGCTCAGGAGCGTGTGAGGCAGCCCTCAATGAAATCGAGTTTGACACCCTGTTGTGGGTTACTGGATTCAGAAAAATACAGATTTGGGGGAGGGAATGTTCATTCAGTGCCTGTTTCAAGTTACAACGGCACTGAAAAAAACGCAACTTAGGACCGTTTTTCACTCGTACAACCGTTGCAGCATCCTTTAACCTTCTGACGAGTAAAGTCAATGGGAAAACCAAACTCACTTAACAACTGGGATAAGAAAGGTTCTAAAAGGGAGCAAAAAACTCACTTAACAAATATTTCCCTTTTATGGGCTCAATTGAGGTGGTAAGTTGAGAACTACTGGTAAATTTGAAGCGCCGCCCCACCTGTTTGGAGCTCAAATCATTTTCACGCACCTTCCCACACACATCTCTCGCTCGTCATTCGGTGTGACCAGACCAACAAACTCACCAAAGGTTCCAACGTGCTAATCTCTTTGATTTTATTCCCACTGAGGTTCAACTGCGTCAAATTTGGTGTTTTTTCTGCGAGGACTTCCAGCCCACCCGAAATACGATTGTCGCTCAACTCCAGCTGCCAAAAAAGAAAGCAGAACATCTAACAGCGGCTCCAGATACGCCGTAACAAAAACAGAGAAAACAGCCCTCTTCTCCTTCCGGTGTGGGTTACAGAAGGCCGCCGTATTCCCCATCACAAAGACCCTTTGGAAGCAGAATTGGGGGGGGGGGCGCTCCTCTTAGAGAAACAGAAAAGCAACTCTATTATGCAATTCTGCTAATCCTTCAACCCTCCCTGGAGGCTCTGGGCTATTAAGAATGACACTTCATTTTTAAAACAACTAAATAAAATAAACATATAATGATACACAAAAATAAAAATATATAGTGAACTAAATAAAAATGTACAATAAAGATGTATAATAAAGGAAAATTAATATATAATACACACACACGCAATTTTTGCGCAGCCACTCCTGCCGGCCCTGCCCCCAGGTGCTCACCTTCCGGAGTTTGTTAAGCTTGGGGAGGTTCGAGATGGAGTGAAGGTGGACATTGATCATGCTCAGGAATTCGAGGTTTTCAAAGTCTGAGGAGAGCCCGCTGATCTTGCCATCGTCCGAGGAGCAGCTGTCCAGCACCAGCTCCTTCACCTAGGAAAGACAGACACATCCACGCTGCCGTTTAAAGTCTGGCTCCCAGAATTCCACTGGGCAAACAGCTAGGGGATTCTGGGGGACGTGGTCTCATCTTTTTGGGGGTGGGGTGGGGGGGTTCAGGCAGCTCCCTCCTGGAAGTCACCGGTTCACTGGGGACATGATGCCCCAACAACATTATGGCTACTTTAACAACAGGTCGTCCTCGACCTTATAACAGTTCGTTTAGTGACCGTTCAAAAACACCGAAGAGTCAGGATCACTTATGACGGTTGTAGCATCCCCGTGGTCACATGATCAAAAACTCAGATGTTTTTGGAAAAAAGAAGCAAGAAGAAACAGCTCGGGAGTATTTGGATTACTTGGTGATCTCTGGATTTTTGGTTATTGCATTTGGATGACTAAAATCAATCGGGTGGTTGTTTAAAAGTGTTGAAAATGGCACTACTTTTGGATGAATTGAAAATGGAACTTAAAAAGTACAAAGAAGATACACAAGAAGGGATAGGTTCTTTTGGCTTCGTATTTCAATTCTTAGAAATGGAGATCTCGAACTATGAGAAACAACAAGAAATGCCTGCAGAACAAGAAGACTGGGACAAAGAAGAAGCCATCTTGAATGAACAAGTAATTTTATGTGGGGGAAAAAAAGGAAAGCGGGGGGGGGGGAAAGAGAATGCAAAGGTTAAGATTTGAAAAAACAACCAAGAAAAGGAAGCATAGTTTGAAAAATAAGTATAATATTATAAAGCAACAGAAGAGGGGAATACAGAAGAGAGAATTAGAAGTAGAGAGACAAGGGGGTAAAAAGGGGAGGGAGAAGAAGAGAGGGAAGAAGGAAAGGAAAAGAAGTTATAAAGGACAGAAACAAGATGTGGAGAAACAGGGCCTATTTAGAGATAATGGGTGAAAATTTAATTGAAAAAGAGATTCTGCAAAGGTACATTAGGTAGTATTGTTATATTAGAAATAGAAATAATTTTAGACAATATGAAACAAGGTATGATTAAAATGATGGATAAAATACTTATTGTAATCTAGTGAAATGTTTGTTAATAAATGAAATAAAATGAATGAGAGAATTGAATTAGGAAAGGATGGGAACATTTTAATTAAAAAAAATTAATTACGGAAAGCTTATACGTGTTCTCAAGGAAGTATATTTAATTGAAAAGAAATGTTAAAGTTGTTAAGACTCTAATGAATATTGATAGAACTGAATTGGAATGGAATGAGTGTTTTAATTACATATATTTAGAACCACTTTTTAAGAATATAGTGCGTATTTTAAAAATGTACCAAGCAGAATTCGATTGGAAGTTATTATATTGAATGTTATAACCTCAAGGTATATATTGAAGCTTAAATAAGAGTTGAATGGATAAAATTAAAAGATATAAAAGTGTCATACTCCAATTAATAACTACAGGAGAACATTTGTTTAATGAGAAAAGAAAATATGAAATTGAAACAGGACAAAAGTATAAATATGATTTGAATTAACATGAGATAATTAAAATAAAATTGAGAAAATTAAGAGAGGAGAAAAACTAAGTAGAAAACGTAAAACAGTAATAAGATATGGAATAGAACATACAAGTGAGCATGAAATTGAGTTTGTGTCTGTATAAAGAAGTGTAACCCAGGACCATGTTATTTTCAAAAAAATATGTTTTATTTGTATTATGGTGGGTTTTTTTTGTGAAAACCCAAATAATTTTTTTTTTTAAAAAAATCCAGATGTTTGATGTTTCAGCGTTCCAGTGACTGGCATGCGCTTATGACGGTTGCAGTATCTCAAGGTCACGCGATCCCTTTTTGCGACCTTCCAACAATTAAAAGTCAATGGGGGAAGCCAGATTCACTTAAGAACTGTGTTAAAAACTGCAGTGAGTCACTTAACAGTGGCAAAAAAGGTCATTAAAATGGTGCAAAGTTCACTTAACCACTGTCTTGCAACAGAAATGTCGGGCTCCGTTGTGCTCATAAGTTAAGAACTGGTTTCCCGAAAATACAACCTACTCCAAAAGTAAGTCCTAGCTTGATTTTTACACGTGCACCCAATATAAGCCCTACCCACAAAATAAGCCCTAATTAAGACCCCACCCATTCCATGGGTAAAAATTAAGCCGGGGGGGGGGTCACTGAAAAAAAAAAGTAGTTATGGCAGCACCCCCATGACCACGCAATGAAATTCAGACATGTGGCACAACCAGCGTATATTTACAACAGTTTCAGCACCCCAGAGTCGTCACTGGACCACCATTTGAAACCTTTCCACAAGCCAAGTCCATGTGGGAAGCCAGGTTCACTTTAATGATCACCAGAGCCACTTAACAATGGCAATGATTCGCTTAACCATGGCAAAGAAGGTCGCAAAATCAGGGGCAATGCCTGACACCTCTCCGGCCCCACTTCCCCCAATTCATTAAGATCCAGTCAGGATGAGGTAGCAGTGACAGTGGCCTCTCGCTTTAGCCCACTTCGCAAATGTGTCACTATTTACCACAGATGTGACACTATTCACACAACCGTCCATCTTTTACAGTGCGTCCTCTGGTACCAATATGCACAGAATGACATGGTAGTTGGAAATACCTCTGCCTGCATTGGGCAAAAACTATATGAATGTATCGTTTTATTAAAAGTTTCTAATTAAAAATAATAATAAAATGAGGTCAGAGATGCTGATACAATCTAGTAGTTTTCTTTGAATGGATTTAACATCCATATCCACAGCAGACAAGATAGTCAGGAACATCGTGAGGTAAATCTAAACTGTATACAGAACACACAGAAGGAAAAGGTGGGGGGTGGGGGAAGGAAACTCCCCCTTTTCACCACAGCAACCAATCACAGCACAGATTGCCTCATGCATGAGCAGACAAGATAGTCGGGAACACAAGAACATCATGAGGAAACCTAAACTGAGGTTCCCCAAACTTGGCAACTTTAAGATTTGTAAACTTCAACTCCAGAATTCCTGAGCTAACATGACTGGAGGAGGAATTCTGGAAGGAGAAAGTCCCCAAGTCTGAAAGTTGCCAAGTTTGGAGACCTCTGATCTAAATGGTATACAGAACACACAAAAGGAAAAGGCGGGAAAAAAGGGAAACTCCCCCTTTTCACCACAGCAACCAATCACAGCGCAGATTGCCTCATGCATGAGCAGAGGAGATAGTCAGGAACACAGGAACATCATGAGGTCAATCTAAACAGTATACAGAACACACAGAAGAAAAAAGCGGGAAAAAAAGGGGGGGAAACACTTTACATTCACAGCAACCAATCACAGCGCAGATTGCCTCATGCATGAGTCAGCACTAACTAATCAAGTACAACGGTGTGTTCTGGTCCATTGTACACTTTACCGTTCTGGCTAGTAAATTAAATAGCTTTACCAGATGAGATGAGCTGCCTCACTGAGTAGCCTCAGATAAGCCTTTAACAAAGGAGCCTACTCTGCAAGCTTGTTGTGAGGCCTTTGCCGAGACAAGCAACTGGCTCCAAATAGCCGCCTGCTTTTGCAAAGGAAATAGACATCCATTCTGGGAAGCATGAAGAGAAAAGTTTTTAAAACAAAAAACAAAAAAACAGCCCTTCTTTCTACAGCCGTGTAGCAAATATTTTGGAGTGTGCAAGATTGGCAATCAACATGCTAAGTTTGAACCATGGTTAAAAATTTCCCCTCCTGTCAAGTTAGTGACTGCAAGTATAGTTCTCGGCTTCCAACTGTTCGTTTAGTGTAGTGACCATATTCAAAGTTATAGCAAGCCCTGAAATAAATGACTTGTGACAATTTTTCACACTGATGACCATTGCTGCACTCCAACCACCGCATGATCCAAATTCACACGCTCGGCCACTGGTTCGTATTTATGGACAAGTTGCAATTGTCCTCTGATCCTCTTTTGTGACCCTCTGACAAGCGAAATCAACGCGGGAAGCCAGTTTCACCGAACAACTGTCTCGTTGACTCAAAAACTGCAGTGACTCATTTAACGACTGTGGCAAGGAAGGTCATAAAATGGGGCAAAACACGCTTAAAAACGAGCCTGCTTAGCAACAGAAATTCTGGCCTCCTCAATTGTGGCAGTTAAGTCAGGAACTACTTGTAGTCCCAGGGCTTGGACGAAGCGAGAAACAGGAATAAACCCCTAACCGTGCGCCGACTGAGTCCCAAACAGGACCCCAGAGTTAGAACGGCAGGGTTTTTCCAGTGCTGCCCTCGGAAATCCCGTTAATTCATCAATATTCGGAGGAACCATGAGGACTAGACCCAAAGGTGCCTTTTTTTTTTTTTCCCAAGAGGCAGCTGGACTTTTGAAGACGTTTCGCTTCTCATCCAAGAAGCTTCTTCAGTTCTGACTGGACGGTGCGGGAAGGGATTTGTATTCCTTGTAGAAAGCTGGTCATTTGCATCCTTTTAGAGGGTTGTTGAAGACAACCTTCTAAACCAGGGGTGGCAAACTCGTGGCCTTGGATGTGTCACACGCTGGCCACACCCACTCCCACTTTAGCAAAGGGGGGGGGTTTAAAAAGTTGTGGTACTTCACATGACCACGTGAGTTTAAAACCCCCTTGCTCATAAAAGGACACAAATGACCAGCTGTCTCGCGAGGAGTACAAATCCCTCCCTCCCCACAATTCTGTCAGAGCTGAAGAAGCTTCCTGGATGAGAAAGCGAAACGCCTTAAAAAAAAAACAAACCCGAGAAAGTCCAGTTTGCCCTTTATCCCGAGATGTTTGGCGTAGTAGGGGAGAGAAAAAAAAAGCACCTTTGGGACCATGACTTGGATGACGGAGAATCTCTGTAGACCATGAGGACTAGAACCTTTTTTCTTTAAACACACAGCGGCAATGCTCGGCTCTTAAGTCCCGCGGTCCCGCGCAGGGGCTGGGGAAAAAGGCTTGCTTACACACACGCCCACGCCCTGCCACAACCGGCTTTTCAAGCCCGCCTGACCTGGAGGCCTCGGGACTGGCTCCACGCAGGCCCGTCTTCCGGAAAGTGCCCGAGC